CATCAAGGTGGGCGACACAGCTGCGAGGCTGGAGAGGCCGCCTTTGAACACTGGGATTAAGTATAAGAAGGCAGGAGTGGCATGGCCGTACCGCGAAGTGCTCGCTACCACTTCACGGCGACTGCGCGACCTGCTGGAGGATTCCCAGGACAAGGTGGTGCACCTGTGCAGAGACACGCCCTGCACGGACGAAGGCAACTACGCGGTGCATGCCCCGGCGTACGGGTACGTGACGGCTGAGACGGACACCAACTTGGAGGCGCTGGTGGAGGCGGCGCCGAAGCCTTGTTGGGCCGGGCGGGCAGTGGGGGCAGCGGCTGCATCGTGTGGACGAGGCTGTGCCGCTTTGGGGTTGAAGGGGTGTGCCAGGCTCTGCGGGTCCCTCAAGCGCTGCGGCCAGAGGGGCTGCCAGCGCGGCAGGCGAAGCAGAGCAGACACCCCAGCCGCCCTGCTGAAGGACCCGAACTCGGAGACGGAGTCGGAGCCGGAGCACCAGCGCTGTATGGCCCACGAGGTGCTGTACCAGTAGGGTGACACGATATTCCAGCTGTGCAAGGAGAAGTGTCGAGATCGAGCCCGAGGTGCCCCAGTCCGCCTGGTCACGGAGGATGGCGAGAAGTCGAATGTCAAAGGGGCGGAGAAGGTGGTTAACTTGTGCTGGCAGCACACGAACGCCTACGAGCGCGAGAGAGGAGTGAAGAAGTGTGCACACCTCGGCTGCCATGCGTTGGGTCGGGTACTGAACCGCGGGGTGCTGACGTGTTTGGAGCACGATCTGGCGAATGAGGAGACCGCTCGACTCGTCGCCGTCGCCGAGGGACCGGCGCCTGTGGTTGCCGGAATGGCATCCGAGCAGCCCACGCTGTACCGGTCGAGATCACCTACGCCGACGGCTGGGAGGGCCATCCTACCCTTGGTGTCGGCCAGTGGGGCGTGGCTAACGGCCTAACGGCCATGGTGCGGGGCCCACGGGGCACGGGGATGGCGAAGAAGTACTACTGCTACGGGTGCCAGCTGGCGGCCGAGGAGGATGGTTGGACTACGCATCGTATCCCAGGGCTTGAGGCCCAGGCTACCGTCCCGTCCAACCTGGGGCCGGTGATCGACGACCGGGTGCGCGCCGAGGCTGCCGCCGCTGGAGCGCCCGCCATCATCGTGCGGACGGTGAACCAAATCCCCACGGAATGGACGAGTACGGCCAGACAGCTAGCCCGGTGGCTCAGGCGCTGGCGCGGGGCGCGACGGGGAGGGAGGACCATCCCCTGCTCATCCTGACGCGGGGGATCGAGGAGGCAGGAGGGCGAGACGAAGGACACGCTTGGAGACACCCGCCCCCGACTTCCCCGACGTACCCAACGCCGCGACCGTGGAGAGACACGATAACTCGAGGAGAGCTGGGGGGCCTACTGAATGGGGCGGCTCGGGGGCGCTGGCGCCGCCGAGGGGAGGCGGCTCTGGCACTGGAGTTCCTGGAGGCAAGGGCCAGCGGAGAGGATCACCCGCTGGACGTGGCCGAGAGGCCGAGAGGTATCAGCACTCCGAAGGTTTCGATGATCTGGGAGAGGCGCGCGACGCGATCGTTGAGTCACTCGAAGCCTTGGAGAGGGACCGCGGCTCCTTCATGTCGGACGATGAGGTGGAGAACCTGCGGCAGCTAGCTGAGGTGCTGAGGGAGAGGCGCGGCCCGAGCCAGGCACGCGAGGAGGAGGCGGCGGGAGGAGCATGGCGGGAGGGGCTGGCACGGCCAGTCCCTGGCCCTGCACGGCCGCCCACACCCCCCATGGCTCGCCCAGCGGCGGTGGAGACGCCGCCCGGCTTGGGAAGGATGCCCGAGCCGGGCCGGCCGGCCAGGGAGGAGAGGGGGTCAGCTCGAGGTTGGGAGCCCGAGCGGCGGGCAACCGACTTGGGCGGTCAAGGTGTCGACCTGCGGGGCAGCACCGCGCGGGCCGAGCTGGGCCGAGGCCCACCGACGGGTCGGCCAGGACATGGCCCCACACCGCCCCCCATGGACCTGTTCGAACACCGGGCTGGCCCGACCTTTGGGGTCCCTGCGAGGAGATCACGAGTGAGTTTCGACGAGGAGGATTACGGCCCATCGGAGAAGGTTCGGAGGTCAGCGGGGGCACTCGGCGACCCTGAGGACAAGGACAGCGAGGGAATGGTTAAGGTCATGGCGGATATCGCGCACAACCTCGACCTAACGAACAAGCGGGCGGAAGACGCAGCGGCGGGGAAGATGGGCACCCTCCAGTCGATCACGAAGGACCACGAGCTGCTTGTTCTGGCGGCGCGTGGGTGCGGGAGGTTCCGGGTGGCCATCTGCCCGGGCGACTTGGGCCGGGCGCTCGTCAAGGCACTCCTGCGCATGGCGGAGCATTCCTCGGCGTTGTTCAAGCACCACCGCTGGCCCACCCTGATCAACTACCGGATCGCCATGGGCATCGCGTCGGGGTCATGGGGAGGCAAGTCGGTCGAGACGTTGGCGCTCAGTGTGGCCGAC